AGAGTGATGATGCCTACCTTCCTTAATAATTTTTTCATTTTCCTCAAGAAGTTAATAGTATTTAACATGAGGAATAGGATGCCTTCCTGTGTCTATTGGAAAGTCCTTTACATCACTGAAGTGCAGCCATTTCTGGGAAGCAATGAACTGGCATAGAACACACGGCACAACAATGGCCAGAAGAGCAATTACGGTCAAGAATATAATGGCACACTGTACAAATATCACAAGCAATACAGTATCCTTTAATGTCACTGGACATGTAAAATAGGCAGTGTTTAATAACAGTCTGAAAAGGAATCTTTAAGAAAAGTTTATCTTAATTAGAAAATAACATGTACACAACATTTAAGATTTTATTTTTAAAAGTGCAGAACATTACATTGTATTATTTGAGGTGGTGTGTGACCAGATAGTAAAGCATTATCTAAACAATGTGTTAAATGTGCCTAAGAACCACCATTTTTTCATGAAAATCCCAATGCATTTTGCAAAGTTAAATACAAGTGAGAAGCCCGGTTTGGCAGATGGGAGATTTACCAAGGCACTGAAAAATTAAGTGATTTACCCAAGTTCACATGTACATTTTATAGAGTAAAACCTGCTTTACTGATTATGCATATTGAAAGAGGCATATTATAACTATGCAACTAAATTTGATACCGCCCACACAGGTGCTGCAGAGCCAGCCTGCACGATGGAAATTGGCAGGATGTGCCAAAATAAAACAAAAGATGGTGTCTGCAGCAGTAGGAAGAATGCCACTTTCTAATGACCATTACCATATCTATTTCTGCAGCACCTGTTTTTTGCGCAGTTCTCCAATCCAAAAGCTAGCAACTTCACACTTGCTTAGCTCAAATTGTACCTCCCAGGTGAAAGAACATCCATTATAAATTATATAATTTCTGAGACATATAAAAATAGATTAAAAACTATGAACACCCGAAGTGTCTCAGCCTGTCTCCCTCCTGGCTAAGAGCAGAGGAACTTTCCAGCATTTGTTTCTGTGGTATGGGCAGGGCTTTGTGGTGAGAGAACGCCTCCTTCTCCACCAATCAGCCCACTAGCATGAGCCCATCCCATAGGCTGCTTGTGAAAGCACAAGTGGAGGAAACACAACCAGCAGATAGAGGCAAAAGAATGAGGAACAAGCACCAATCCATAGTCGGTTGGCAGGAAGCTTCCTCCACCATGGGTTGGAGGTCAAGCTGACTAGGAGTTAGGAAATAGATATGTGGGGAGGGAGGAGCTAGAAGATGGGAGGATGCCAGCCTTCTTGGGTGGACAGAATGCGAGGTGATTGAGGGAAAAGGTGGCACTGGGGACAGGAGGTTTCAGGGAGTTGAGAAAATAGAGGTTCAAGGATTTGGATTTCGAGGGATAATAGAGAGGAAAGAGGGGACTGAAAGTGGCTGGAGATGATATGGGGGGGTTGATGCAGGGCTGAGGTGATAAGAGACTGAAGATAGACTGGGGGACTGGCATGATGGGAGTTTAAGGAAGAGTCGGGTGATGAGTAGTACCCTGCAAATCCACAGATATCTGCTTTGCATCCAGTGGTATCTGTATATGTGGCTAGGGATGCAGATGCAGACACAAATTTTCCATCTAGAGCCCTGCAAATTTGCAAATATTCGCTTTGTATCCGCGAGTAAGGATGTTACAATGCAATTATTTGGCTAATCGTATAGTCAATACAATTTGTATTGACTATTATTAGTCAATAAGCACCTCTGCAGAGCCACAGTGGGGTTAGCTCCAGAGGAGGCGACAAGTCACGACTGAGCAGTTCTGGCTCATGCTGGCTCCAGAGCCACCTGCGCTGCGGCTCTGCATTTTAAATGCAGAGGTGCAACAATCAGTGTGAGTTGCAACTACTGGGCACCTGCCCCTGTTCATGGCCGCCAGGACTGGCCGTGGCTCATTTTTGCAGATACAGATGTGGATACAGATACAAATTTTGTATCCATGCAAGGCTCTAGTGATGGGAGTTAGGAATTATATAGAGTCAAGAGGGTAGGGACTGCAATGATGGGAACAGGAGATAACACTGATCTGCAGATGATAGAGGGATTACCAAGGAGTATGACGAAGGATTATAGGATGTTTGGGAGATAAGGAATACGGGGGAGTTGGGGTGGACTATGGGGAGTGACAAGGATTTGGAGGTGAAATGGGATTGGGGAAAGAATGACTGGGAATGACAGGAGACTGGGACAGGGTAGGGCACCCCTGGGGCAATGAGGGGCATATAGCAGGATGGGACATTGGGGAGGATAACCAGGTTGGGGGGGGGGGGAGGAGAATAAAATGAGAGAGGAGGGCAAAAGAGGAAAATGGGGGGGATTAGAAGACAATGGGCTGGAGATGTTCAGGGGGAATGAGGGTTCCCAGGGCGAATGCCTGTGAGCACAGAGCCTGGGGGTGACGGGGAGCCCAGACAGAGGGTGGGGGTGACCATGGACAGCAGAACATCTAGGGTGGGGGGGGATCAGACACTGGGAGGGAGGTAGAAGGCTGGGGGTCAAGGAGAAGAGGTCTGAGGGAAGCCCAGAGACCCAGTGTGGAGGCTGGGGACCCCCTGGGGAGGGCAATGGGGTCTTGGGGATCCCAAGGGACTGGATCAGACACTGGGAGGGAGGTAGAAGGCTGGGGGTCAAGGAGAAGAGGTCTGAGGGAAGCCCAGAGACCCAGTGTGGAGGCTGGGGACCCCCTGGGGAGGGCAATGGGGTCTTGGGGATCCCAAGGGACTGAGATGCCTGGAGGGTGCGGGTGGAGGAAAGCTGGAAGGGGGAGACTGGGATGCACAGGGGAAGGCTGCGGGGTCCGGG